CCCATGTTTTCTGTTGTTCTTCCCCCTGGAGAGGGGTGTATGATTATGTGTTGATCATTGCGATCGGTTTTCCCTTTCTCCCTTTCTCTCCCCCACTTCCCCCTACCTTTCTGGTATCACTTTTCCCACTCCTGTTCCTGGATTCTTTGTGTAGTGAGCTCCCATCTCTTATCTATACCGGTGTACAAGTTCCGGTCTAGTCTGAATTGAGAAGCAGTAACTGGGGTCATGGTAGCGGGGGATGAGGAAGCCTCAAGGAACCAGAGGAATATTGTGATATTGTGTGTTTCATTGATGCTTTACTGTATTCTGGTTGACTCATCCCTTCCCTGTGGCCCCTCTGTGGGGAGATTGTTCAGTTTTCTACAGATGAGTTTTGGATCTCTGCTCATCCCCCCCCCCCCCATTCTCAAGCATATGTTTTTGTTTGTTTGTTATGTGTCTGCTGATGCCTATTACCCGGTCCCTATGACTTCTCATGATCTCACCAGCAATGTGCTTCTTCCATATGAACTTGTTGCTTCCCTGCTGAATGGCAGCTTGTGTAACTTCAAGCTTTTAAGACCCCAGACGCTATATCTTTTAATAGGTGGGCACCATCCACCTTCTTCACCACATTTGCTTATGCACCCATTTTGTCTTCAGCAATTGTGTCAGGAGGGTGAACATCTCAGACTGCCAACTTGTTAGAACAAAGTGTTCTTGTATTGAGGGAGGGAATGAAATCCATTCCCTATCTCAGTGTATTGCCATATAAATATATGGACATAGGTCAATGCCTCTATTTTTTGGATTAATGTATTTACATCTGTATACCTCTATGTTTCTACCTCTACCCATTGCTTTGTTTCCTGGGTACTTCTTCTGTTTCCATTTGTCTCCCTCCTGCCCCACCATCACTTTCCCCCTTATTTCTGCCTCTTGGTTCCTCCTCTTAGCTAGTTTTCTGTTGCTCCGACACACACCCCTACCTGGATCCCTATCTCCTCCTTGCTATTGACTGCAACACCCCAGTTGTTCCCCTGTCTATAGTATAGCCTGACCACCACCCCCCTTCCCCCACCACTCTTACCCCCCAGGTCTCCCCAGAACCATTAGTCTCCCTGCTCTGTCCTCGGGCATGAGGTAAATGTAAACAGCACTGGGTATAGAAGAGAAGCCACGTATGTCACAATATTCATGTTGTACTCATGCTGTACTTCTCCTTTTGTGATTGGTTGACTTCACTTAGCATAATTTCCTCCAACTCTGACATAATGACAGATACACAGACCAATGGAAAAGGAGAGAAAACCCAGAAATAACATCATCAGCATATAGGCAAATGACTTTGACAAGGGACCCCAAATCATCAAGTGTGAGGACGGTGCCCTATTTAACAAGTGGTGCTGGAAACAATGGAAACCCACATGTAAAAAATTTAAACAAGATGTCTACCTCCCCCCATGGCACATGAACAAACTCAAAGTGGATCACGGACCTGGAAGTAAAACCCCAAACCATCAGGACCATTAGCTAAGGAATCGAGACAAACCTTGGTCCAGGAAATACAAAGGCTAACTGCAACAAGGCAGGGTACACACACAGGGGAACCTGAAATTGACAGGTGGGATTTACTAAGGATAAAACACCTGTGTGCATCAAAAGACTTTACCAATAGGGTAACAAGGCAGCCCACAGACTGGGAGAGGATTTTTAGCAATGACACAACAAACAAAGAGCTTATTATGAAAATCTACAATACCCTCCTTGCCTGCAAAAAAAAGGAAAACAGTAAACCCCTGGAAGAAGTGGGCAAAAAAACTGAAAAGAAGTTTCACTAGGGAGGAGACCTGTATGGCCAATAAACATATGAGAAAGTGCTCCCGATCATTAGCCATCCCAGAAATGCAAATCAAAACAACCATGAGATACCATCTAATATCTTTGAGGCTAGCCCAAATCAGAAAACCAGAGAGCAACAAATGTTGGAGGGGATGTGGCGAGATAGGAACTCTACTCCATTGCTGGTGGTCTTGTAGATATGTACAGCCACTATGAAAAGCGATCTGGCGATACTTTAAAAAAATGGAAATTGATCTACCTTATGACCCAGCCATCCCTCTACTGGGCATATACCCAGAGAGGTAAGAAATAAACCACAACCAGTCGTATGTTCTCCAATGTTTTTTGCGGCACAATTCAAAATCGCAGAGTTGGAAACAGCCTAAATTTCCATCAGTAGACGAATGGATCAGTAAACTCTGGCACATACACACAATGGAGTACTATGCAGCACTAAAAAGCACTGATGAGCATATATAACTCTTTTAATACAACTGAACTGTGAAAATGTATATTATATGAATCATATATTAATGAAATTATTGGAGGGAAAAGAAAGAGGAAAATTCTCCAAATAAATAAATAAGGAAGGGATTCAAACTAATGTCTACCGCAATTCCATTACTTTGGAATAACAGTCATTTCTTTTCTTTCAGCCTTAAGTCTAAGCGAGTACATTGGTTCCATAAATCTGCTACAGGAGAGTTTGAGGTAAAGGAAAGTTGGTATGACCTATGAAGGATGTTGAGCATCTCTAAAAGACAGTCTAAGGTTCTAGTAGTCTATAACACACGGTGTGGGTTACCAAGGGCTGGATAGAAACTAGATCAAAAGTGTCCAGTTAAGAATATAGTACCAGGCATATTCTAAGTCATACTTCAACTAAGCCCACATGGAAGAAACCCACCCACATGTGTGATCCAAGGATTGTAAATAAAAAACCAAATCTAATCAAGGGCTCATGTGGGAGGGGGGAGCGGGGAGGGAGGGGAAAAATGAGGACCTAATGTCGGGAGTTTAAATGGAGAGAAAATGTTTTGAGAAATGATGTACAAATACGCTTTACACAATTGATGTGTGTATGGATTGGGATAACAGTTGTATGAGCCCCTAATAAAATGTTTAAAAAAAAAAAAAAACCAAATCTGAAGGAGGAAATGGTATCAGAATTTAAATTGTGAAATTCTGGTTTGCAGAACACTGTGGATGCCCAAAATACATTTTCAGGATCTACACTTGGAATAAGCCTCCAGTAATTTCCCTCTGACCGTAATTGAGGGGTGGGAATAGCTTAGTTATCAGGCAGGGATTATTGTAGAAATGATTATAGTAGATTAAAATGAAAAATCTGACTTGAATGGTGTGGTAGTTACCTAATCCGGTGTCAATTTGGGACTTGAGAGGATTAAGAGTGAAAGGGTGGAATCTAATCTGTCAACTGGATCAGAGCCAGTGAGGCCTGTATAGGCATGGCCTTCACCTGAGAATTCTGGGAATTCCTACTTGGAGGCGGGAGACTTTTCTCTCTCTGCTCACTTCCTGTGAGACATCCCTGAGGAGAAGCCACATGGATCTACCTCGATGCAACCCCCGGTGCTGGAGAAACCACGTGGAGACCCCTGCCAGCGCTGAGATGCTTACATCGCCACTGCATCCATAGACTTTCCACCCACCCACTGGCCTGTGATCATCCTGCATTTGGCGTCGTTGCATGTGTTTCGTGAGTCCGAAGAGGACTTTATAGATTCCTATCGGACATATGGGCTAATATTGGGTTTATGGGCTTGGACTAGACTGGGTTGGGATGCTTTCTTTTTTTGAGGGGTGGGAGTAAAATTTTTAATTAAACCACTACGAAAATATATCACAGCTTTGAAACAGCAAATGAACAGGCTGTATTATCACTTCAGGTATTAAGTTGGTAGAAAGGTGACATGTCCTTTATTGAAATAAGGTGTCACTGAAGTAGGAACACCACACGCTAGAGGCTTTGGGCAGAAAGAAAGTGGCATTTGATAATGGGATGACCCTCCTTGGCTCTCAAAGAGTCACAGGTCTTCCTTACCCCTGAGTCACTCACTCACTTTTTCTCCCTCGACTTTCCTGTTGCCAGGAGATTGCTGTAACAGGATTCTGATAACACAGGGGATACGAATGCAGTTGAACATGCCACCAGGAAAGACCCATCAGTTAAAAAAAGGCATTCTGTTTGGGAGGGGCCAACAAAACAAAACCCTCAGGGAGACGGACTGCTGCACTGGGTCCACACACACCAGCGAGCACCGCGATTGCTCAGGCTTGGCAAGATGCTGTTTTGTTATACACAAAAAGAGGTCACCTTGAGTTGGACCGACTCAATGGACAAGTAAGTAACGTCCTGTTTGGGCTTTCATTTCTTTCGGCAGCCACCAGTTTCCCTCTCAGTGTTCATTCCCAGTTACTGGTACGTACTTCACTGTCCAGACCCCCTTTGCTTCCAGGGGAAGAGACAACCCTGTCACTCTGCTGCACACAGCTTTGGGGCCACCAGGATGGCCACTGGGAAGGAAGCTCTGCCTCCCACAGCCAGAGGGACACTCTTTCAGGTTTTTGCATAGTCTCTGTGCTGAGAGATTCCATGTGTGAGAATTTCAAGAACATCCTATCTTGAGAGCCAGATGAAGGCCAAAGAGCCTTTCAAAGATCTTATCCAAACCACCCTGTCTGCCGACTTGACATCTGAATCAATGTCGGGCCCTTGCATATAAAACAAAACCAAGCGAAACAAAAACCTACATTTCCACTTTCCTCTTCTGAATTATTGTTCTCATGCATTTTGTCTTACAGCTTATGGAAAATGGGGTGACAATCCTTCTTGTACACAGGAGGTTGGCGAGAAACAGAAATACTTCTCCTAAAACTCCACCAGATCATCACAGGTTGGAGGAACGTGCCAGCATGCTGGTACCTGTAAACTCAGGTGGCTCAGGTGCCCTGGGATGGCTCTGGCTTGGGACAGCTAAAGAGAGACCCAAAATCAGGATAAGCACCTGCCACATACAACTGAGACGCCATATAACTTACTCTAAGACCTCCGACCCAAATGACAGCACCAGCTTGCCCAATTTACTTCTTGTGAGCTAGAATTGATAAAAGAGCCAGTGTCCAGAGCCAGGTGATATTCCTTAAACTTGCTGCTATCTTTTTTTTTTTTTCCTTTCATAAAATTCACTTAAAAGACCCAAATTCCCCTTCTTCTTTTTTATAAAGATTCCTGCCCTGATCCCCAATGGCCACTGGCACAGATATTTATTTTGCGATGGAAGAGAGAACTCCGTCATCTTCTTGGTCCTGGACGGGATGAGGTGCCTGTGGTCACAGCTCTCCAGCTGCTGCTTCACCTGCAGCTCTTTACTCGCGGCATCCATTGAGTCTTTGACTTTGTCGTTGCAGTGCACGGTACACCGGGCCAGGCGGTCCTGGAACCTCTTCAGTTCGCTGGTCACCAGGGCCTGGGCTTGTGCCAGCAGCGCGTGGCAGCACTGAATGCATTGGTGCACTTGCTGCATGGAGGCCAGGCTGTCCTCACAGCAGCTGGCGCTGCGCCGGAACATGGCACCCTGCATCTTCCAGATGTTCTCCCTCTCCAGGCTCTGCACCATGGAGTCCACTGCCTCCTGCACGAGCTCCGCCATGGGGACCCCGCACTGGGATGCTTTCTTAATGTACAATTACCCTTTATATAAAACTCTCTCTTATACACATGTGAGTTTCTATGATTGTTTCTCTAGTCTACCCGGACTAACACAAATTGCTAAAACATTATTATTAGATCTTCTTTTTGACACATTTTGAGCTTGATCTGGTTTATAATATTTTCTGGTTCTTTTTTTCAAACTAGGATTTAGCTCTGTTGTATTTTGTTTTTGTCGGTAGCCTTTCTTGACTCTCTGCTATGCATTTTTCCATCTTTTTCAGTATATGAAAGCCAGGATGGTGAATTCATGGAGACAATAGCAACATTAAGGGCTCCTGGGGAGGTCAGGGCCGGGGAGGCGAAGGGGGCAGGGGGAGCTACTAGCAAGGAGGAGGAGGAGGAAAAAGAAAATGCTTTAAAATGGATTGTGGTAGCAATTGTACACTTCTTGATATAATTGAACTATTTAATGGTATGAAGTTTGGATTATGCTCTAATAAAATGGTTTAGGAAAATATATATATATATATTGGTTGAACATAATTAAGCTATACTAGCAATGCTTGAATTCATTTCATATTTATTTAGCACCAGAACCCTCAGATTAAAATACCTATCTATAATTGAAATATGAGATTCTGCACATAAAGGAAAAAAAGTGGATGGGGGCACAAAAACAAAGTTAAAAGACAAACATGAAAAAATATACAGAGCATATGGCAAAAGGCAATTTCCTTAATATACTAAGCCCCTCAAATCATTAAAGAGTCATAATCTACTAAATCAGCAATGGAAATGAATATGCCCATTCCATTTTTTTTTTCACTCTTCAGACTGGTGAGGATGAAAGAGTTTCAAAGTTCACTATGGGACTGTCTGTATGAGGAAAAAAATTCTCAGATTTTGTGTATGGGAGGAAACACTGGTGACTGGTCCTTTGGCGGATGATTTGTCAGTATCTGTATCTAGAACATTTTAAAAGCAGACACATTGAACCTAGAAACTCCACTCTTAGAAATGTCTTATACAGATAAAAACATGCATGGGCAAAGACCCATGCATAAAGATGCTGGTCACAACATTGCTTATGGTAGCATTCTGATTGGTAGGAGTTAGGTGAAATAATAATGTAGCTATGAAATGGGATATTATAGTCATTGATAAAAGTATTGTAAATCTATGATTGCTGATAGAAAATTATCCCAAATTATATTATTAAATGAAAAATACAAGGTACTATAAAAATCTGGTACTATGATGTTCCTTTTGTGTGTGTGTATATATATGTGTGTATATATATAATATTTAATAGTGTGTGTATAAATATTTATGTGTATATAAACTATTTAAATGTGAGTTCATATATATATACATGATGTGTATATGTATTTATTATTTGTATATTTGTATATGTATAGGCGACTTTATAGACTATACCTTGCCAGGTTCTGGGGGATATATACATTATACATGTACCCATTTGCATTGTTCAACCTGGCATGTTTTTCATGTGCTCAATTTTAAAAGCCATCTCTTCCCCAAATACACACGTTTGTGAATCACTTATTCCACAGAAGTATACCCAGCATGGTATTTTCATGTCTTCTAGGAGCTTACAAATAGGTAAAATAACTCTCAAAAGGCTGTTTTTACCTACTATATACATAGCATTCCACCTTTTTGAGATGAGATTCCACAGTCATTAAAATGTTGCATATGAA